CGGGGCGGCAGCGGCAGCAGCAACAGCAGCAGCAGCAGCAGCAGAAGGGTGGAGGTCCCGTTACGGCCATCCTGCCGTACACGTCGGAGGAGGACCTGCCGCTGCTGCAGCAGCATGTGGCCCCGCAGCTGCGTGCTGCTGCTGCTGCTGCTGAGGGTTCCTGCTGCTGCTTGCTGCGCTTCGGGTCTATGGATGCTGCGCTACAGCATGCTGCTGTCAGCTGCCGCTTTAAGAGCCCAGACGGGGGGGCTGTACTGGTGTTGCTGCTGGCCGTGGCTGCTCAGCAGCAGCAGCAGCAGCAGCAGCAACAGCTGAAGCAGCAGCAGCACCAAGCTGCGGTTAGTCCGGTCGCTTCGCTCCGATTGCTGCCTGCGGTGATTCGCCTCCCGCCGCCTCCTGGTTCAACAGCAGCAGCAGCAGCAGCAGCAGCAACAGCAGCTGATGCTGCTGCTGCTGCTGCACCTGCTGAAAAGCAGCGGCCGCTGCAGGACACTGAGGGCCTTCCTCCGGCCTTCGCCGAGGCTGTTGTGAATGCCACACGCAGTTTAAAGCCTGAAGCAGCAGCAGCAGCAGCAGCAGCAGCAGCAGCACGAAGGCCGCCTCTTAAGGAAGCAGCAGCAGCAGCATCTGCTGCTCCTCCTCCTGCTGTTCCTGTGCGCTCTGAGCCGGCTGGCTCCAAAGGAGATAGCGGTAGCAGCAGCAGCAGCAGCAGCAGCAAATTGTCAATGCAGCAGCAGGTTAAGGCTAGCAGCGCAGCGGAGGCCACGGTGAAGTCTACAGCAGCAGCAGTGGCTGCTGCAGATCGCGGCGGCAGCAGCAACGCCAGCAGCACCGATGTTTCGGTCTCAGCTGACACAGCAGCAGGAGCTGCAACACCAGGCAAAGCAGCAAAAGAAGCTGCTGCTGCTGCTGCTACTGCTGCAGCATTGGGCGGAGTGAGCCGCGCAGCAGCGAAGTCTTCGCTTGCCCTTTCCCGCTCCGGCGTGCAGGCGCTGCAGCCTGCTGCTGCTGCTGCTGCTGCTGCTGTTGCAGCACAGAAGCACTTGCCTCGCAAACGGAGGCGGC